AAGAGAGAGAGAGAGAGAGAGAGAGAGAGAGTAAGAGAGAGAAAAAGAAATTGTGACTTGTTGAAAATAATATCATAATGTTATGTATTTCTTTATTAGTCTCAGAAACTGATGATAGCACACTGTTAATTTCTTCCCAAAGGGTGCTTGATTAATATTTATTTCCATACCTTGTCTTATGTTTACTAATCGTATCTTAACTCTTTAAAGACAAGGTGGACACATACGTCCGATCAGAAGCAGACCGTAGACAACGTTTCAGACCGTTTCGAATCGTTATACACAAATCAGAAAAGTGAGTTTGCTTCATAGTTTGCATGTTGTTGCATGCCTCTTAAAGTTCCAGATAAAGGGGAAAAAATCGAAAAACCTGTTTGAATAATGAAGTTATGTCCCAAAACGGAATATCTTCAAGCGTTGTTGATTGACCAGAATGCAAGTCCTCAAAGAGTTAAACAGAACACATGCTCAGTGCGAAAGGACGAGCGAGGTTGATAGAGGAATTGCACAATGATTTGCCTTACGATAGGTCAAGGGATGGGGAGGGACGGGGGGGGGGGAATGGGATGGGATGGCGGTTGACAATAATGGGTGTTGGGATAAGGGGATGAGGACACGGCAATGGTGGTGAGGAGAATGGATGTGAGGCTGAAGAATCGAGAATGAGGGATTTGCGAACGTGGGGAGGGGGGGGTCGTTGAAATGGAAAGGGATGAGTAAATGGAGATAAGAGGTTGTGGATGAGGTAGTGGGTGATGATTTCAGGAGAGGACGTGGGGAATAGAGGATTTCTATAGACGGCGAGTTCTGGGTAGGGGTAGGGTATAAAATATGAGACAGTGAATAGTGGTAGGTAAGGGAAGAAATTATCTTTGATTTTGAGAATGCGTAAAACTTATTCAGTGGCAAAAAAGGGAATTTACACGCCCACTAAAATGAAAAAAACAAACTGTGTTGTGGTAAATAATGAGATTCATTTAACCAGGAATGCGATTCTAAGTCCAGGCCTGCCTCATGGTCTAACCAGAGAACCAGAGGCAATCTCGAGGAGGGCAATGAAGAGTGTGTTTAACTCATATCCACAACTTTACTTACTCTTAGAGAACTTTAACTGATGGTTGACGGGGAAAAACCAGGACAATAATCACCATCATCATCACCATCATCATCATCATCATCATCATCATCATCATCATCATCAGCATCATCATCATCATCATCATCATCATTATAATAATAATGATAATAATGTAGTTTTTGTGAGAGCATTCTATAAGAAAAATGAAAACAGAACAATGATCGTCAATTGTTTCATATCTGGCATTTCATGATGATGATTTACACTAAACTTATTGTTCTCTTATCTGTAGGTCGTGCCCTATTATGACGGGACGCTTGTGGAGGTATGCCGAACCAACATGGACTCAGAGCTATCTCGAGCTTACATCATCTTCATCTTCACCGTGTGCCTGGCTCTGCCACTGGTGGTCCTGACGGTGATGTACACGGCGATCATCATGACACTGGCCGCTAGCACCATGGCCGGGGCGGCTAGTGTGGGGCCAGGGGCGGCGTCCACCGCGCCCAGAGCCTCACGGGGGAGCTTAGACTCCAAGGCTAGTGTCAGTTTTAACACGAGCGGGCGCCTCAGTCTGCATTCTGACTCGAACGACCAAGTGAGGAACGCTCGGGCTATTGCTAGCAGAAGACAAGTAGTGCGCATGATGATGGCGGTTATGGCGCTTTACTTCCTGTGCCTCTTGCCCATGCGTAGTGTGCAATTGTGGGTGGTGTTTGGGCCTAAAGAGGACCTCGAGTCGTTAGGGTTTGAAGGATATCTAAATCTTATTAACTGCAGTCGCATTCTCATCTACGTCAATAGCGCGGGAAATCCAATTATCTATGGCCTTCTCAGCGCAAACTTTCGCACAGCTTTCCGCCAGTCTTGTTTCACATGCCGCCACAACCGCCGGAACAGTCTGAGCTATAACACGACGTATTACAACAACAACCACCATTATCACTACTACCTACATAGCCATGGTACTCCCAGCCATGTAGGTCAAAACAACCAAGTTTCTCAGAGCATGGCGTCGTTTCCATCTCACCGGACAAATGTGTCAGCCAAGTCGAAAATGACTACGCAGTCCACAACCGCATCTCCGACACTAGAGCAAAGGAGACTATCTAGAAATGGCGTTGGGATTGGTGTCAATCCGAGGGACCTTCTTCTGAGGAGACACAAAAGTTTTGACGCGGATAAGGAATGTACGATAGACACAGAAGTGGCAGGAACGCCCGACAGTCAAAAGAATGGAGCGCCTGTCACATACGTCTAGGTTATGTGCAGAATCAGGAAAAGAAATGAAGAGCAATGGCAGCAGATGTGTCTCGAATGGCTCAACATCCACCTCATTGGTTCAAATGAATGCAAGAGGGCTCGTATTTCTGTAGTGAGAAAACTTGTGGTGTTCGTAAATGGATACAGTTGTGAATGAAAATCATTGACATCGATCTTGTGCTTGCATTAACATATTTTTTCCATGTGACAACCTTAAACGTCTGAAATAACTAATTGTTTGCCCTAAATATCCCTAGCAATTTTAAAAAAAGATTTTAAAGTGTTCAACATACGCCTTAGCTAGAGGTCAGAACTTGTGCGGGCAAAAACCTGGTTGAGACCTTTCACAGTCGCTAGACTGCAGTTTACCCGAGCAAAGACGATTTCTCGTGAAGTGTGTCAAATTCAACCTACATGTGGTTTAAATTGGAAGACCATATTTTGCCTAAAACGTTATTTTTACGATTCGTTTTTTGTCAGGTCTTGTTTAGATACAACAGGAAAAATACAAACGACATAGATCTAGTGGTTTCGTCGGAATTTGTATATAATGTATCCTTTGTAACCTGTCAAATTCGTTGTTCTTGAATTTTATTATGACGTATGACAGAAGGCAATACCATTCAAGTATACTTTAACTTACATTTTTGATGCTATTTCCAATATTTCTTAGATAGTATATATGTGGTTGTTGTTCGTCGACAGTATTTATCTATTGAATAAGATAGTGATTCTTTCCTAGATATCAACAAAGAAATTGTTTGTATGGAGGGGGAAAATTGAATTGGCAGTACGTATATTAGCCTCTGGACAAACGAAATTTCCTGTTTTCTGTTCATATACATGGAGCATGGCATGTTTCCCAGATTCAGCTAATTGAAACTTTCTAAAGACACACTCCGATATCGAGGTATAGTTTTAATGTGATTTTTTTTTTTTAATTTGAAGTAAAAATATTATAGCGAATAGTAACCGTTAGCAAAAAAAAATAGTGTAAAACTATTACTCGCGGGATTCGGATTCATGTCTTTTGCACACAATGGCGCAAAGCCTAACCATTGCAAGACCAACCAGGAAGCTGACACAAAAGCTACTATTACTACAGCCTTCGTTTAAAAACAATTGGCTCGTTAAGACAGTACCTAAAATCACACAAAACGACATAACTATACAGACGATATGACTTCAGGTTCGTCAAAAACAGCATGTACATATAATTAAAAGGATAATTATTGAAATCGGAGTCAAAGGTTCGCTCACCAATGACAGCGCAAGAACGGTGATTAATTTAAAAGCCTTGATGTGAGCAGTGTAAAGAAAATATTCTAGTCTCTTGCATACGAGAGATTATGTGATTGTATTAATATTAATAAGTGTGTTCAATTGGTGCCCTTTTGGTTATCGTTGTTATTCTTGTCTCTTTAATCATAATGTTTGTGTATTCAAAGAGAGAGAGAGAGAGAGGGGGGGGAGAGGGGGGGGGAGAGGGGGAGAGGGAGAGAGAGAGAGAGAGAGAGAGAGAGAGAGAGAGAGAGAGAGAGAGAGAGTACGAATGAGAGAGAAATAGAAAGAGAGAGAGAGAAACAGAAAGAAAGAGAGAGAGAGAGAGAGAGAGAGAGAGAGAGAGAGAGAGAGAGAGAGGGGGGGGGGTGAAGGAAGGAATGGGGGGGGGGGGATACGAGACAGATCGAGAGACAGAAAAACAGTCAGCCAGACAGACAGACAGACAGACAAAGTGAGAGACCGATAAACATAGAGTAGTAGGTATTTCTGACGAATTGTTTATGAAGCTGCCTGAAGTTTGCAAAATTGTGTATTACTCTTATATTCTCGGATCATCTCTTCTGGATTAATCGATGGTAGGGCGACTTTTTCTTTTGAGATGGTAGTAAATAAACGAAACATGACTATAATAATGCTCAAAAGAATTTTTTGTCTCTTTTGTTTTGACTTGAGCTGACCCCCCCCCCCCCTTTTTCTTTTCAATTTCCATGAAGGCACACACACACACACACACACACATACACACACACACACACACACACACACACACACACACTCACACATACACACAAACACACACACACACACACACACACACACTTTTCCCCTCTCCTCCTTTATCATTCCACCTCTTTACCTACATGTATCTATAATATAATAATAATAATAATAAATAATAAATAGCATTTGTATAGCGCATATCCCCACTCAACAGCAGGCTCTATGCGCTTTACACTATATTATTACCCCAGCAGACCATAGAACACTCCGAAACATTCTCAGCTTCCCGGGAAGCATACAGTGCAAGCAGCTGATTAAGCGCTCAAACACTAACAAACTGACAAGATATTTCGCTGTCTATAGCCGGGTACCCATTCCCACCTGGGTGAAGTGAGGAAAATTCATGTAAAGTGCCTTTCCCAAGGACACAACGTTGGATCCCCCTGACGGGATTCGAACCCTCGACCTTACGGTTGCGAGTCCGAGAGCCTAAAACCACTAGGCCACCTTACTTGTACATCACGTGTTTCCCTCTTTCTCCATCGTTTCCCCTTGTTATAATTTTGAGATGTAGCGTGGTGTGTCTCAGGAGAAAACATGATCGCCCCCCCCCCCACCCCCTTCTAAATTATCTAAATTTTGTCGATCATTTTTATGAGAAGGGTGGGTTGGGCGGGGGGGGGGGGGGTTGATCAAAAACCTACATTAATAAAAAGTTATTGAAATTACAATAATACGAAAAAGAGACCAAGATTGAAGCGAAGAAACATGTTTTCAATATATAACGTTTGTCATTTATAATTATTACGGTAGCCTAGTTCGATTTGCTTCATTTAATTAAAGGTTCGTTGTAAACGATTTACGGCCCCATCGGTATGGTTTAGATTGTTCATGGTTCTGTGTGTCAGGATGGGATTCAGTTTCCCAGCAGCCAGACAGATATGCTTGATAAATATAATAGTTTCCCCTTCTCATGAATCAAAGGCACTTAGACTTACTCAATAGACAAGGAGTCTTACTATTGTACTACAGAACCAAGTTCAGTGGGCCTAGTATTTGAGACAGGCAACATAATATAAACAAACCTGAAAAGTATGTGGTGATGTCGGCCTACTTAAACTACACAGTGTTCTGTGCTTGGAGGGTGAATGAAGTATCTACAAAGGAAAACATTTTCTTAAAGTCTTTATTTGAGAAAGACAACAAAATGTTTAAGCCAACGCCAAGGCCAACGCCAAGGACAACGCCAAGGCCAACGCCAATGCTAACGCTATCGCCAAAGTGATATCTACATCTTTTATCTAATAACTATAGTGGCACTCTTTTTAGAAGAAACCACGCATTCTTCAAACCTTGAAATTTTAAGAAGGCAGCATTCAATATTCCTAAAACATGATTAAGCGCAATATTCCCGTTTTTTAAGCCTAAGATTAAGCTTATTATATCAATTGTAGCGTTCGATGGCTACTTGTTTTTGTTTTTGTAAAGTGTTTTACGGCGCTCGCAACTGCATAATGTCATATGAGCGCGCGGGACACACCTTATATTTTCAGTTAGTAGGAAATTTTGAATTTAGCCCAGGTGGCGGCCGAAGCCTACTCTTATCGATTTTAGACCACCAAGGGATCTTTAACGTGCGCAACTTGCACACGGGCCCTCCGAGATTTTTCGCCCTTGTCCGAGAAGGCTAGGTGTAGATCTTTCCTACCAGAAGATCAGGGGTATGGCTGAAAGACAGCAGTAAAAAGAAGCGAAGGAGTAGCAGTAGAAAGGCTGCAGAAAGAATCTGGAGCCCATAGGAAGGGAGGTGAGGGGGTGGGGGCAGAAAGAGAAGACGAAAGCAGACAACAGAACATTGCTAGAGAGCAGGAAATGAGGTGATAGGAGACACATTTAGAGAAGAAAATTTGTCTGTCACTACCCGGATTTGAACTCGGGACCTTTGGAATGAGAGGCCAACACCTTAACCTCTAGGCTACGAGAGCCCCTCTCGATGGCTATGTAATGCATTAGATCTATAATATATAAACACACACACACACACACACACACACACACACACATATATATATATATATATATATATATATATATATACTAGCTGGACCCCCTTTCGATGAAAGGAATGATCGGTGCTTTAATATCAACTAACAGTCATTGGCCTACTATATTAACATTCTACTGGAATAGGGAAATAAATCTTGAGAGAAGCAAAAAATTAGATGGTCTAGGTCTATACTCTCGAAACAAAATGCGCCTCGCGAAATATCACTTCCGGATTCTTTAAAATTGCAGAGACAGAAGCGTCGGCCTACAAAAGCGATCGGCGAAATAAAGAAATTTAGCTTTTTGAAGCAAAACTGTCTCAAAACTGAAAAAAGCAAGGGCGTCATGATCTGGAGAATATTTTATAGAATTTTTTGGCGAAAACCGCATGTCGATCGATGCAGCTATTAAAAAGCCTTTTGAATAGCAAAATTCGGCCACCACAAATAGATAATAGATATGGCCTTTTTAGTTTTAGTTTTAGTACAGGTTTTACGACGCTCGCAACTGCATAAGGTCATATGAGCGCCAGAAGATTAGAGGTGTTACAAGAGAGTAACAAACATAAGAAAGAAGAAGGGGACATAAGGAAAGAAGAAGCAAACCACACCAGAGCACCCGCCAATCACACAGATATATCGGCCTAATATATATGTATATGTATATATATATTTTTATATATATATATATATATATATATATATATATATATATATATATATATATATATATATATATATATATAGTACATTGAACGTTTGCTATTTTTTAATTTTTTTTTTTTTATGAGAGCGTCCAAGGTTCAATAAAATTGGTTCAACGCTGCATGGATAAAAAGCAAACAGGAATTTCCAATCGCATTATCTGTGATTGGGGATTGATGTGAACCGTCTTTGTATATTACGATAATGACTGATACTGATACCACTTCTGTTTGCTGAGGTGGAGATTATCTTTGAAAATTGCGAGGTATGCGCGACTTAGTGCGCGCACAGTGTTGCACGAAATGTGTAGCGATGGACTGCTGTGAATCATGCAACTAACTTGAACCTACACAATTTTGGCAGAACAAAACCGGATGTAAATTTGAGTCCAATAATTAACAATATAGAAAGTAAAGTGAAAGATGTTTTTATTGCTCAAAGAAGACAATAATTACTTTTCAATGACTTTTAACACCATTACTAGACTCTATTGCTGTTAATCTTCACTCGAATCAATATAGAACCGCAATTTTGGTTTGAGATTATGGTTCATAGTTGCCCTCTTTTCCCTTGACGACACAGAATTTGTGTATCCACAAAACGTCATGAAAAAGCATTTCCGCCTAAATAATCAATAATGGCTGCGATAACGGCGATGGTGTTATTGTAAGTAAAAACAAAACAAAACTGATGTTACAATTAGCGAGATGGAAACAGGTAAGAAATCGTCGATAGCAGACGACCACAACACTAATCAAAACGAAGCAACATCTACTGGCCAGATACCGAGACTAGCGGACCAGTTTGTTTCTCCCGTCTCCGACAAAACATTGTCATTAGACATTAACCTGTTATCAGAGGTCAAGGCAGAGCCCCCAGCTGCAGGCCTGTATGGAAACATCCCATCGATAGTTATTACTCCAGCCTCCCCTGGCTCTTACATAAATGAGCCTGGAAAGGATGGCAGCACAGACACAAGTGAAATCTTCTCTGACACTAACCCTAAAGCTCAGCCAGATATGGACATGGTGAGTGCACCTTGCATCAATCTCAACGATATCTCTTTGCGGATTCCTAAAGACTCTGATGACAAATCGTTATTGGGCACTCCTTATTGTGATAAAACACTAAATATCTCACGTCCCCTTGAAGCGGAGTGTGCCCCTTCCAAGTATTGCATTGATACAAGTAACGATGAAGATTTAGAAGTGATTTGTAGATGTTCTTCAACCCCGATAAAAGACACTGAACGAAATCGACGAAATGAAAGCGAAGAAACAAACTGCAGTATCTCTTCCATCGAGACGACAAGCCCCATAATCGTCAGACCTAATGTTGTGGGACCTACCCATGATGATAGCACTGGCCAACCACTTGTTAGTGCAGTCCGCAGTGTACGTAACAGTTCCAAAGATATCACAGTAACCTCGTCATCAGATCCTTCAATCATGAGTCCTGACTTAGTCTATCACAACTCACACTGCCAAGTAAATCAAGAAAACCAGACATCTCAACCCCTATCGCAGATTTCTGTAGCCCCCTCGAACCCTATGGCCTATGACATGAGCCGAGGTGTGAACCCCAGCCAACTGCCGCCGACCCCGCATACAACGAGTCTGCAGGAGAACGACGCGATACTGGGGGTGCCAGGAGGAGCACATATGTTCCCGGGTCACCATCACTCGCAAGGGTACGGTCACGCGAGTCATGGCTCTTACAGCGAGTACTACCCTTCCTCCAACAGCTCGTGGACTGACATGAGTTACCGCACAGACATGTCGCCGATTCCTCCAATGGCAGGGAACGTTTCATCCGACACCTGTGGCTATCCTGGACATACTGCGGGACCTCTTAGCGGGTCCTCAGACTCGGAATATTTCGTTTATCCGTCCATCTACGTGTCTAGCGCGGGTCTAATCTCTGTCCTGCTCAGGAATGACATGTCTGTGGAGATGACAGTAGACCGTACGATCCGTGTGGTGTCTCACAACCACATGATGGCTGTAGCCACCGACAGCCGTGGGACCGCCGCCTGCCTCTATCACCCGGCCCTCAAAGTATTCCAGATCGGCACCACCACCGATATAGCTACTGACAACTTCCGCGCTCGCATGGGCAGTGGAGATTCTATCGTCTTCTCGAATGGATCGCATTTCTTCAAACTGGAAGACTCAGAGCTGCAACCAACGGCGGCTATCAAGTTCTCTGACATCCTGAGAGATCAGTCAGTGAACCTGCTGTTTTCATCGGAGGGTTACGGGGAAAGTCTTGTTGCAAGCTGCATGCAAGTTGCAGCCCAGGCCGAGTACGCTAACCTCCCGAAAGGCGGTGTTATCGTCCGCATCAATGGTGTCAAAGTCACACAAACTGGAAATGGTGACGTTACTGTGGTCACAGGGGCAAAGTTTATCCGCCTCTCTCCTCATTTCGGCACTACTAGACTGAGCAACCGCTTCGTGGACATAGAGGTAGAGAAGGACTGGACGGTCAAGCTGACGAGAGGGTCTCACAGTTTCATTAGTTCCCGTAAGCGTTCTATGGTGTGCAACGGCAAGATGGAGGCGGGCTTCGATGAGAACAATGGCCTGAAGGTAGCTAATCTAGTGCCCAGACATCCCCTGCTCACGGACCCTGGTCTGATCAGGCGACAGATGAGGAAGCCGGCAAGGTTCCTTGGGCCATCCTCGGCAACAGCTAAACGGAAGACCGACCACTGGGGTATGGGGAGGGGAGGAGGGGCCTACTGACTGCTGCCCCCTTAAGAAAGTTGATTTAGCGATAGGGAGATGGCATTTCGTTCTCCAACAATGGTTTTATTTTTCATGAAAGCGCTTTACGACTAAAAAGATATTGTGAAAACGTGAGACGTATCAATAGCATACGGGATGTGCTAACTCTATGTTTTGACTTTTCATCTATAATCATTTATTTATCAATTATTGAGAGGAGTGCGGACTTCGAAGACTTATCTGTCTCACGAAGCAAACCCTCTGTGTTTAGAGTTTGAAGGTTCTTTTTTTTTAAATTTCGAAGTAAATGGGTAAGCATTAATCAGCATGGTAAAATGGTTTTAATAAATCCATTTTCAGACGAAAAGTGAATTGTATAAAATAAATGTTTCTTTAAAAGTAAAATATGATTATAATATTTTAGGTATCAAAGAAACAAGTCATCAAAGCCCTATTGCTAGATCAAGAGACTATATTACGATGGTTTAATAAATGATTAACAGATTTATGTACGTTACATTAACCACGGTGTATCATCTTTAGATAATATTATGTTCCTCATTGGGAAACAGTATGAGAGTTTCATCTTTTGTATCCTTGTTTTAAAATCTAGAAAAGTTCTGACAGCGGGCATTCTAGCATGACCTGAAGACATCGCATTACTTTTCACATGTCGACGAAATACTATCAGAGTTACCACTGACAAGACAGGCGATATCAGTATTTGATATGCGAATCGTTGACAAAGCGTGCATTGCTTTCTTTTTACAGTTGAAATTCCAAGTATTTAAATAAACAATTTGTCTTAACTTTGAACTGTTGATTTAAAAAAATTCAAACTTCAGCCACTGTTTTTGTCCCAACGGTCTTCACGCCCATTTCAACACCTGATCTGTTCATAGATCAGTTGAAAAAGTGTACCTAAGAGTGGAGACCGATTTGTGTGTGTGTTCGTGTGTGTGTGTGTGTGTGTGTGTGTGTGTGTGTGTGTGTGTGTGTGTGTGTTTTGGTTTACCTTTGCGCTCATCAACACAATTTAGATCATTTTGATGGCAGGCTTCTGCCCTGCTTGACGGGGCCAACCGGGCAGAGATTGATATTGCCTTCCAGCAGAAAGACCGAGATACTAGTTAAAAATATTCTTGAGACCGGAATCGAACTTATGTCTTCTTCGAGTGATGGCGAGTCGCCTGGCCGCTCCATCACGGACACTAATGTTGTGTGTGTACGTGTGTGTGTGTGTGTGTGTGTGTGTGTGTGTGTGTGTAAGAGAGAGAGAGAGACAGAGAGAGAGAGAGAGAGACAGAGAGAGAGAGAGAGAGAGAGAGAGAGAGAGAGAGAGAGAGAGAGAGAGAGCTCTTCAATCCGCACTTGGTGTATATATATAGACTTCGGTCTTCGATTTTGAAGTATTAATGATAGATTATTGGTTTTAGGTTTATAGCGCTCCTTTTTTAACACAATTTATAATTATCGAAGAGGTGAAATAATATGTGAATACTAAGAGGGATAGAATCACAGATGTCCAATTTTTGCGAAACAGAACATCGAAATGTTGTCTTTGATTCATTGAAGACCTATTTGCTCGATTTTTTCAATTCCCCCTTTAAAAAAAAACCCAAACCGATCCAGTTATTTCTATGGACAGATAGCCTAGACCCGTAGCAAAATTCAAGTGGGAAAACGCAAGATAAAGTAAATATTGGACAAGTGTGATCCCTGCTCCCTTCCTTTGACCCTGTTCGTCTTCGTATGTGTTATAGTCGGCCTTCTACAACAACAATAGCCAGCAAAAGTCATCCCCAGGACATGTACAAACTTCTTCAAAAATCCTGGGAATTTTGTAAGGATCGAACCGCTTACAACTAATGTGCAGGAAACGTTGTTTTCATAACCCAACAACATAATATGGGGTAGGAGAACCAGCAAAGATGGCGGGTTTACGGTTTACGCTGACTGACAGTGACAGCATTCTCTTCAGCTGGATCTGGTTGCATAATTATTATGTTTGAAGCTCCTTTTCTCTGAATGTTTTAAACCTACATGAACATCATTTAGATCATTAAGGAGGCGGCTGTTTTGACCTTGCCTGTCAGGACCAATCCAGGCAGGGGGTTTGGGGGGGGGGGGGATATAACCCTCCATGCTACAGAATAGAACGCAGGTAGGCGTACTCTGCGCGCAATGCAACGGTGAAGAGCTACGACACCGTTTTCTTAACGCTGGTGTTTTACGCCCTCTCCGACGCAATTTAGATAATTTGAGAGGTGGCCTCGGCCCTGCCCAATACATGAGGAGTCCGCAGGAAAAACGGGAATAGTCACAAACTGAAATCGTGAGGATATCAATTTTGAACGCTTGTTGACTTAGTTATAGCTGTATTTCTGTTCATCTGTCCTTTGATCATTCTTGTTAAATTTCCCACTCAACAAACATAACTGTTCTTAAACCACCAATCAAATGAATATGAAGTTATGAGTCCACTAGCTTTTAAAATTGACACCCTCACAATTTCCAGTTTGCGACTTGGGCCATTTATCCCGTGGACTCCTCACATGCTGAGAGAGTGAGAGGGATGCAACGTCCCAGCAGAAAGACTGAAATATTCCATTAAATATTCTCCCACACGGCAATCGAACTCAGGTCTTTTATGTGTGATGGTGGAGCACTAGCTACCAACTGCAATACCACAGACGCTAGTGCTACACTTCAGACACCGCTGTTTGAAAGTATCACATTTTTTTTTCTGAAAGATTAAGCTGGTGAAAGAGAAGGTAGTCAGATTAAAAGCTTATCTCCTTATAAGTTATGGACCACACAGATAATCTTATGGTCTCGCGTAAAATAACAAGACAAACACTGAATTAGAAGAATCGCGTGTTCTGTGCTCCCACCCTGATATATATTCCCAAGACTTTGTAAACACAAATGGCCATAAGTAATCCATAGGAAACTTTTTCTTTTTTTCAGCTCTGAAATTTTCTAGTTTCGTTGTAACAATCATGGGGTGTGCACACAATACGACTTTTTCGTGAAGTTGAAATCAGTATACCGCATATACAAAAAATATCCTAGACAATCCAGTAAAGGGGTGATTTTTATTCCACGACGACGAACCAGCAGAAAAGTGAAATGAACCATAGAAGTACCAAATTGTCAATATATGTGACTTTGCCCAACCATTAAAGCAGCAGGTAAAGATTTATGCTCAACTGCATCTCTTTCTTCAGAAGTTTACTTCTTCGATTGCCAACAAGTTGTGGAACCAGCATTTCTGTGAGGTTCATATTTAAAGTTATCTTTGCTCTCAGCTTCTTGACATACATCACACTTTCTTGAATCTCTATTTTTAGCAGTTGATTACAGTTTTAACAAATCATTATATTATATTAGACCAACATGTCACAATAATTATGTATGAAATACTTAGCACTATTATGTGCACCTTTTTCTACTAATCATTTGGCGTCCATATGATAAAAATGGGCAAAGCCCCCCCCCCCCCCCCCCAAAAAAAAAAATAAATAAATAAAATAAAGGCATTTCAGCAAGGGAGATATTTTCAAAAACCATGGTTTAGTTTACTTTAAGATAAACCCAGGGTCATCTCAGAACCATCTGACAGTTGCTAAAAATGGCAGTGTTCAGAAATTATTGTATAGGACATACATTTCTCCTCCATACAGTTCACACAGTCTGCAGTTGGATTTTCTATGACTCTCTTGCACTAATTCAATCTTAAAAATCAAGTTTATTTCTGAATTAAATGTGTATTTTTAAAGCGAATTAAAGTAAACAAGTCAAGTCAGTTCAGCTAGACCAACTTTAATCATCTAAAACATGTAGTCAATGCTCATTACAAAAGTAAGTACTTATTAACATGACTATATACACATCTACAAAATTGTAAAAATTAATACAAATTATAAATAAAGGAATGACAGCGAATTCAAATAACTAAACCAGATCTTGTCGTCAAATGAAGTAATGAGCATTTAGATATATATAAAAAGGACAAGATGAAAACATAAAGAATACCCCACAAAGTTCACCAATAGTCAGATCGTACAAATACTTTATACTGCCCCTATATCTCCTGTGATAAGACATGGAATTTAATCCGTCATAACGATCAAAGAAACCTTCAAAGTACTGGCACACACTTCATATTGACTATAATCGAGACTTTTGTACATTCTGAAACGAACAAAATCTCAAGAGAAAATCAAGACAAAGAAGAAGTCAAGAATCAGAGATGGCTTCAGTAATCATTACCTTTAAAATTTTAAAATCAATTTGAAAAAGAGAATATAATACAGAATTCTTGGACATCTCAATCACTGTATAATAACACCAACACAGTCTTTACAACTTTCCTTTTTCTTTAATTATGCAATCATGAAGCAAAATCTCCATGCCAAGATGGACAAAATGCTGTGACAACAGTCAAATCATAAGTTTAGGTCAAATGAAATAACAGAATAGGTGAATAAATACAAAACAAACCTAAAAAACTAGTTTCTAGCAGGCGCCTGTGCAAAAACAAAAAACTGGAAAAAACCAACAAAATGAAAACAATCATATAAGCATCTTGCATTATGTAAAACTGAGTATTAGGTGACTCAATATGTATTGCTTAAATTGTAAATACAGTTTAATGTTGCGTAATTAATACTAAAGGAAGCTTACCGAAACTTCTAGAAATCAAAATATCCTTGAAATGCAACTATATGTATACAGTTCAAGACGCAGTCAACGGTTGGCAAGGTAACCACAAGTTTAAAAAAAACCAGCAAAACAATTAAACAAAATAAAAACAATGAAACGAAAATAACGGAAAAGCACAGCCTTTTGAAAAATATCAATTAGAGAACGGTGAGGATGGAGGTTATCTGTCCCATTTTCCCTTCAGCTTTAAAAGCCCATCAATGTACCAGGTCAGCTCTGACTTTTATAGCCCAAGGGACGCAAATCTTGTTTATAGAAAGCTATACGAGTTCAAAGACGGATTGCTTCCCTTGTGTCTGGCCTATAATATTGTACCCCTTTTCGCGAATGTGCCTTTAGGGTTGTTTTATCCCTAACTTGTAAGAAGGCATCTTGGTGACGTTTGACATCACAAAGTCAGAAAAGACTCCTGGCGGTTATAAGAAATGGCAAGTATTATGAGAAGAGCTTATTAATCGAACACAGAAATGAATAACTTTTAAAAAAAAGAAATAAAAAATGACAGACCACATTCACAACCTCTCTGTAGTTGTAAGATAAAGCAATGTAGATAGTCTTGAAAGACATGAATACATGACCACAGACACTACTAAATTTCACGTTAGTGTCACCACAGTTCATAAACATTTGGGCCTCAGATTCCACAGAATGGTGTGAGTTTAGTTTTTGGTCGTACACATAAGTATAACAGAAAACATGGTACAATACCTGCAGGGAGACATAACTTTCGTCTTTAAAAAATACAAGAACAAAGTAAAATAATGATTTTATAAGTATGGATTTAGTTTCTCCATGTTTAGCAAACTGTAGGAAAAGCAAATATCAAAACTTCATATTTTTTAAATATTCATCACTTTACAATCACAAGTTTGGGGCAATCCAGAACACTAAAAAATAACAATGACATTACTGGTACTCTTGTTTACACTAATTTCAAATCATATTGCCCGTAGCATAATGAGATACTTCCTTTTCAGAGAGTCCGTAACTTATGAGTTTATCATTTTGATTCACAATATCAACAGAAACCAAACAAAATAATTCCACTAAAAATAAATTTAAGACATTACTAGTATTATAGTTAATAAGAGAGACCATAGCAGTTCATTGTTAATTTTTCACAACTCAAAGTATCAGAAAATTGTCCCTGGTGAAAGCTAGAATGCATTTTGGTCTTTGCTTTGTTATATAAAAAAGGCATTTTCCTTTCTGACTAGAACAAAATGTCTGGGATACTATCCTAGAGAAGGCCTCAGAGCAGCCACAGTAAATGTAAAACTAGAATCTAGTTAGCCACAGCCCGCTTTTACCATAAACTACGCAGTAAAACAATAGTGTTAATCAAAAGCGTCATTTAAGTAATGCCAAAGTATTTTATATGATGGAATCTCTTTTTCTATAAACCATCTCTCATCGTTATTCTAAGATATGAATGTACACAATATATTCAACTTGGGTTTTTTTTCTGTTTTGTATCTGTAGAGGCAGCTCCATTTATATGATCTCTCAATTCTCAACAGGTATGCTATAAGGATGCAATTGTATCACATTATCACATTCATGCTGAGACCCAACAAGAATACAAAGTTCAGTGCACATGGGGTACCCACAGTTATTATCAGTAATTAGGTTTTGCATATGTGTAAGGATTCATTTGATTGAAGGCAAAAAAATGCTATGTCACTTTTGGCTGTATATATACAGAATACTACACGCTGAGCACATGGGAGGAGAGAAAAGCCGGGAAAAGGTCGAGGGAGGGTTGGGGAGCGGTGGGTGTCCAACAAGGGCAAGCTACAAGTCCAAACACACTATAGGTTATAAGAAAGAGGCACAACAAGAAGATCTAAACTGAGCCACAGGAAAGGAGAGTGAGACCTCACATTATTTGGACTGACCAGTTCTATCCTTTGGGTACGGACAACCTAGATCTATACTTATTCACCTAGCCCGAATGGAAAGGTGGGAGGAAGGGGGCTATGTTACTTCTGGTAGTTGACAAGAGTTCTCTGTATCATATTAACTTCAGGTAGTAGAGGAAAATAAGATGAGTGCTGCTGGGAACTAACTATGTATATGTATTAGCAGCACTGCATGCATGTCATGAGAATGTCGACATAATATGGAAAGATTAGGCTCATCTTAGGGAGTAATTCATATTTTGCTCTAGTAATTTCTATGTAATCTGTTCGTAGTCCAAAACGTCGAATGAGCTTTCCCCCCATTGCAATATCAGCAACATTTCTTCAGTAATAAATAATTCATGACAGTAATTCTGAAACCCGACTCAGCTCTACCCCTTCTAATACTAATACAGAGGAATGAATTTCTTGCCATTTGAATGGAAAATGTGCTCTCCAGAAATGTCCACTATTTTTTAATATGTCAGTCACCTAATTTTACAGCCAAAAGAAGACTGCTCAAAAAACAGATAAATATGTGAAAATATACTACATAAACGTGACACAACATCTGATAAAACATTAAAAAAGGGAGGAAGGGACAGAAGAGAATGTGCAAAATCTGACAGAAAAAAAGAACATTCAAGTGTGTGCACCTAATAGTAATATTCTAGGAAGCTAATACGTTCTTCGGTATTCGGTGGTAGCGTCTGATGGGGGTATGCAGTGTTTAAGAGCAGGAACAACAAATCAAAGACAGTTTCAACACATTATTGTACAATTCAGAACTGTGTCACTGACAGCAATATGAGACGTAGCAATGAATAAAGCTTTCCTTATTAGCCAATAAAACAAGCTTGGAAATTAAGGGAAAGGAAGTGAGTGAAACAGCAAGACCCTATCTACAATACAACATTATCAAGAAGAATCAACTTGTGTAGTTCTTCGTACAGCACAACACACACTTGGTCATAACCAGGTGGCTATACCAACCCTCCTTGGTACTTGGAAAAGAAACTTGCAGTAAGTTTTTGTTTAAGATATTCTTAATGGGGCTTTACACACTAATTCTGGAACAATCAAGTGTTTCTCTGTTCTTTGTGGGAAATGAAGGCTTTCTCAATATGAATAATTTTCAAGACACAAACTGTTCTACCAACTTCACATGGCCAAACTTTAGAGCAAAGACCAAACAACCACCAGAAAAAAAGGTGGACACACCACTTCTGTGTCTGCAGTAGAAAAAAAACAACATCTTTTAACGTGGAAGAGTCTTGGTAACTTACAGTGTATGAGCCCTTTTGACAATCAAAATATTACCAAAATGTCTCTTTTCCATTATGTCAGACTGGAATAATTTTTTTCTGTATCACTATACAGATTCATGAGGCAAAATTGCTCATAACAACACTAAGAAAATCACAACACTTCACTCACTAGAAGACGACACGGAATGGGGAAAGTATGCAGGAGTGTACGTGTATATTTGTATATAAAAATACAATAAAGAAAAAAGTAAGAAAGACAAAACAAAACAAAACATCATTTTATGAATCTCAATAAAAATTCAATTTCACAAAAATGGAATGGGCCGCACTGTACACAAAGCTTGTAATTTATCCTTGACCTGTGAAAAAAATGCCCTGACATAACACGTGTTGACCACAACTGCTGCCAACTCCAACATCTGCAATACTGTCTTGAAGTCAAATGAGCTGTGGCTGTGAGAAAAAAGCAACAATATTCACGCCATTATTTCAACAGAATGTCCACGCTTTTAAGACGTCGCTTCTCAATACTGATATCTTCATTTCCGGTGTTGGCTGTACAATCAGTTGAGATGGTTACACCTTATCTCATTACCGTATATACGCTGTTATAGAAAAAGTTTTGAGCTAGGTACTGGGTTCCACATTGTTAACAGGTGTACTGTACGAGATGAGTGAGAAAACTTAAGTTTAACAGAATCCATTGTCTTATTATGTCTTTGTTCTTGAAGGTACTGTGATAAAAGAAACAAAGTTCAGTGCCGCTGTTGATTTTTTCAGACTTCTTTAAACGATAAAGCAAAGGTAGCATTCTTTGTTAGGTATCGCGCGTGCACAATTTTATATTCAGAAGGAACTTTACATTTAATAATAAACATTGGCCATTACCCAAACAAACTATAAAGCTGGTAAATCATTAAAAACCATTGTTAAAGATGAAAATAAATGTGCGTATATGTTCTTTACCTCATGATTTTGAAACCTCTATGTAACCATTGCAATCTGTGAACCATTCAAGATCAAGAAAATAGTCATTCTAGTCTATCTGCTCTGGCACTACATTAACATAAAACTTGGATAATTGGTCGTTAACACACATCTGGCTCTACACCACCTACAATAAGTTGATTCAATAAACTCAACAAACAATGGTCACACGCCCACAGCAGCCCACAGAGGCGCGGTGTAAGTTGATCACGTGCCACGTCGCACATCCCGACATCAGCAACTCTTTCCAAGGACAACGGGATACAACTCGTGCGCTGGCACTACTGAGGAGAGAGGGTAGAACATCTGGTGAAGAGGCAGATCTCGTGACATTTAATGAAATACTCTTTGTTCATACAAAGGAAAACATCAAACCAAACTTTGACCTCTGCTTCTTAAGGAGTGCGAGTTGACACTTATCTTTTTCAGTTTCAGTCAGGAATTTACTTTTTAAAAGATCATATTATTATTATCGAAGCTCACGTCTGGTTCTCATGAATTTACAAAAACACATAGGCCTACCGTGCATTAGAAAGCTATACAAGAATTTGGTCATCTAGATAAGGCGTAGTTATTCACTGACACAAAAATCATGATCCGGTGGCACAGAAAAAGAGCAGAAAAGACAAACAGAAAAAAACCAAGACAAATTATAATCATATAAACTGACAGACAGTGAGGTGAGAAGGAGGTGTGACAGAGCAAGGGCAGTAAGATAGCTTGGTGAGACAAAGTACACAGCCACTTTCCGGAACTGACCCTTTTTGCACGGAGTTCTTTTCAGAGATAAAAAGCTCAAAATGACACATATCTTTTAAGGCGTTAAAACCTCAACAACGATCAGGCAGGCAGACTGACAGGAGGTGGTAGGTTGGCGGGTGCTCTGGTGTGGTTTGCTTCTTCTTTTCTATAAAAAAAATGTCTAAAATCGTTATCTTCCCTCTTTCTTTTTTTGTGTAAGTTACTCCCTTGTAACACCTCAAATCTTCGGCACTTATATGACCTTATTGTGTTGCAAGTGCCGTAAAACTCTTACTAAAACTAACTAAAACTGACAGGAGATGCAACAGGCTGAAGCAAAGGTAGACAGGCCGATATTCGCAGTTTAGAACATATCAATTGAATGACAGAACAAAATCCACGGGCAATTGAAAGAGTAAAAAACAAGTACAGTTGAACCTGTTAATATGACCACCTGCTCAAGACAACCACCTCTACAAACGATACCCCCCCCCCTCCCAACCCCGCCCTTTAAAATTAATTTTTTATCATAATGTTACTGTCCATCAAGACATGTCTCACATGACCATTTTCTCCCCGACAACGCAACATGGTCGTACTGGAAAAGGTTCGATTGTAATAATCAATAGCGGGATGTTGGAGGGCGTCACTGGTAGGTCCTATACTTCTTTATTTTCCCTGTGTCGTTTCTGTCTGTCTGACTTACCTTTTCCCAACACTAAATGACCATTATTGTGCTGATGTGCCTCTCTCTACTCAAACAAACAACCATCAATAAATTAAGTTGCATGTGCGGCTGGCATGATGAGAAGCCACCAGGTTCTGAGAGATATTGGAAGCCCTGCTGACAGTCGACACGACAAACACAACACCTAAGGCTTAGAGACCAGTGGCCACATAATATCGTCAGAGGACTTTGCTTGGAACGTCAAGGAAGCAGGCGGATTCCGTTCAGCAAATAAAAACCAAAAACGTTGTAATTTTAATAAGAGTTTTACGGCACTCGCAAAACAGTAAGGTCAAATAAATGCCGAGGATCACAGGTGTTACGAGAGTGTAGCAAACACAAAAAAGAAGGAGGAGAGATATGGACGATAGATGCAGGAGCAAACCACACCTGAGCACCCGCCAATCACCCACTCAGAGAACTAGAGTGAGTCGATTTTCCACAACCCGTACAGTAATCCAACTACATGACTGTACATTTACCCCGATCATAGGAAAAACTGCTGTTGGATATCAACACTACGAACCTATGTCCTGCGTCTTGGTATCATCTTACGTCTGGACAGTAGAATACCGAGGCCATCCTGGGCAGTAACCCAACTACAGTCATCCCGATGTTAACAAAGGAAAAACTGCTGTTGGGTATCAACACTATGAACCAATGTCTTGCCTCTTGATATCATCTTACGTCTGAATAGGAGCATAATGAGGACGTCGGGACGTCGGAAAGATCTCCAAAGACGTCTATTAAAACACAACTATCCAAAAACCAGCTTAGAGGGTGTCTACTTTGCATTAAGCTGTGCAATGTCGATAGATGTGGAATTTGAGATCCACCAGATAGGTCAAGTTATTTTACGAACGAAACACAAGCACACCATATCACCATGTTTAGTATACCTGCCTGCGGTGTTTCACTTCTTTAAGATGACGTTTCATATATACATGTACATACTGTGTTCTCAGCATTCCGATGCTTGTGAGTGAGAAAGTCCAGTACTGCAGCAACCATCATCAGAGGACCGTAAGTTAAATTTTGTTTGTATTTACATCTAGTACTTTTATTGATTCTTTTAATTTTAAAAAAATATATTTGAAAGGGTTTTTTTCCTTTGAGTGTGGGAGGGCGGGGACAAGTTCTGGAGTATGTACACTTAATTTAATTTACCAATGTTGCGCTGCTAAGGCGCTTTTTAAGGGCTCAGAAAACCACAGTTTACGACTGTATCGTTGTTGAATTATCATTGAGTTCCAATCATATCTAACTGTTAGGAATGTTTTCGATCCAACTCAAGTGAGAATCTGTCCCGACAATGTAATTGTTGTCCTGTAAGTCAGTGTTTACTTCACATTGGGGCAGTTATTATCATTCACTCACTGTTTGGCTGCAGTCTAAATCAAACGCGAGTTTGCGCAGCACAATCAACCTGTGTGTGTGTGTGTGTGTGTGTGTGTGTGTGTGTGTGTGTGTGTGTGTGTGTGTGTGTCTGCTGTATGCGAGTGTGCGTGTGAGTGTGTTTGAGTATGTGTGTGTATGGGTGTGTGAGTGAGTGTGCATGTGCGTACGCGTGTGTGTGTGTGTGTGTGTGTGTGTGTGTGTGTGTGTGTGTGTGTGTGTGTGTGTGTGTGTGTGTGTGTGTGTGTGTGTGTGTGAGAGAGAGAGAGAGAGAGAGAGAGAGAGAGAGAGAGAGAGAGAGAGAGAGAGAGAGAGAGAGAGAGAAAGAGAGCTTGAGTGCATAGTCGTTTGATCACTCTCAGGGAAGCCTCTTCTCATAAACGTCAAGCAGTCTGAAAGCTGCCACCCCCACCATTTTCCCCATCACTCGTCCCCTCGACCGCTTGAGACAGAACCCTGTGATGTCCGGGGAAGGGTACTCCTTGTAACAGATGCACGGGATATGAACCTTTTCAAAATGTGTTCTGTTCTAATGGACCCATCGTTCTTTCTTTATGGTTATTTAATTTTGTAAGGACGCCCTGAGCTTCAGACACATCAAACTATATGTAATGACCACAAAAAAGCGTTATTTTCACGACAGGAGTAAATGCTATCGGGACCTACTTTTCCATCTGACCTAGACCCGTTATCGCCTTTGAAAAGGGCAGCCAGTATTGCACAACAGCGCCTCTTCAATCAGTCGCCACCTTTCAACGTGCTTCGCACTCTCAATTTGTTTCTACGAAGAATTTAGCTTTAGAAAATATAATTTGCGCTTCTCCATAAAGATCCTACTTGAAGGAATCCTCGTTATTGGAGACTTCGTGGCCTTTCGCTGTGTCCGTATTCCAGATCTTTTAGTTTTAGCTTTAGCTTCGCTCCATCCGTCCAATCTATCAAATCGGTCTCTTTCCACAGATTTTTCTAGAACTTCTTTTTCATCTCTAAAACAACATCAAAATAGTTACAAGCAGAGCTACATGCTTACAGTATAGCTACATATAATAATTATTTCAGGATAACCAGAGGAGCTTGTTCTTACATCCTAAATACAGTTAGCTACAGCTTAAATGGTTAACTACTTTTCACTATGGCTTGGTGCATTTCTCGGTGCATACCTCAGTGCATTATACAAAGAAAGCGCACAACAACCGAAGCTCTATAGAGGAACATACAACGAACACGAGGGTGAACAGTAAGGAAAACGCAAAAGTAAACACTACAAGCTACCAAAGCGGCTGAAAGCGGCAGCGAGTTACGCAAATCAGGACAACTTAAAACAGGACAACCGAAACAAAAACGAAAAGTGTAAAGTTGACGGACACAACTATGAAACTGAGCCTCAAAACACGTCACTTAACAGCAGCAGGACAACCGCACCCAATCAAAAGCCATATTACGAATAATATTAATATGTCTCCATTGGGACCAAGTTGGGATTTTGGAATAAACTAGCTGGCAAGATTGCGTTATTGTGTCAAAGATGCATGAGTTTTTCCATAGGAGAGGAAAGATGTCAAACATAATCAATTATATTTCATTAAATGCACTTCAATATTTAAAAGTCATGTGGATTTGAATAAGAATATATATATATATGTGCAGAATTCAATAAACTCTTATCTTTTATACTGGAGCCATCATGTGGCCTGAATCGATCAATTACATTCGATTTTCAATCACAAAAACAAGATATTTTAGGAAGAAACGTCGTCCGGCCTGTAAAATCTATGTGTGTCCGCTTCATCGTTCACTCCTACGACTTCCAGAACTAGTCAACACATGCACAGTGACAGTCACAGACAGGGTTATGCGGAGCACAAGCAGAGAAAAAATGCCCAAAGGAAATACCACATCGAAAATAATGCAGAGCCTGTTTTTTTTTTGTATTATTAAGATAAGCTCTAGCAAATTAGGAAAGCTTTTACTGGAAGAAAACACAAGCAAATAGTATTAAGAAAGGGAAATCCCTCATGCAGCACAATACTATACGACACAAAAGTGACTACATGGCACGATATCGCTTTGAGATTAACCAGGAACGTAGCGACGCCGCATGATGCCCAAAATACAACTGATGAGTCTTTTGACTAAATGAACGCTAATGGTGTTGGCACTTGCAAAGAACTGAAAACGAAAAACAAGAGTGTGTTATGTTGCACCCCCTCCCTCCCCCCCCCCTTTTTTAACAAAAGAAAAACAATGTCTACCCCAAAAAGACGACTACATAATATACATATCTGCATTTGAATTCCAAAGCCGAAAGATTGTAAATGTTTTGTTCGATTCCCATACAATATTAAAATCCATGTTGACAGCTTAAGGCTCGCGGACAAGATATTCGCGAGTTTCGAACTCGAACAATAAGAACATGAGCAGCGACACCGAGATAATTAGCAGCAAACACCCCCCCCCCCCCCGAAAAAACAACAAAAAAGAAATCAACACTATTAGATCGCAAAGGACAAGGTTGCTTCGGCCCTGCCCAGTAGGGCCAGTGTGGCGTCCGTGGTCTAGTGGTGAGACGGCTGTGGTCGTAACCGGAAGGGCACGGGCACGAAACTCGTCAGGCACCCGACGTTATGTCCTTGACACTTCATACGAGTATTCCTCACTTTAACCCATGCGGGAATATTTACCCGGTTATAGACGGCGAAAGATCTAGTCAGTTTGTTACTGTTTGTACCTTTTATCGGTAGCATGCACTGTGTGCTTTCTGGAAAGACACAACCTTTCTGATAGTTCTATAGTCTGCCGGGGTATAATAATAGCCCATAGAACATGCTGTAGAGCATCGGTACGTGCTATAAAACTACAATTATCATCATTATCATCATCCCAGCAGAAAAAGAAAAAAAAAACTTCACAAAAGTTTAAAGTGCATGACATAAAAAAACAACAACTGTAAAGCAAGGATCGGCTGGAAATAAATTACTGCAAGGTGAATCAATCAGCACTACTATCTTCACTGTTTTACACCAATTTCTCTAGTCCTCATTACAGCAATAAGGAGGCAATTGTCACTCACAATCGCGCTATTCTAGAGTAAAATGCACACAAACACCGTATCACTACAAATAAGAACTACTATTAGCCTAAACCCCCATTTCATCTCGTCTCTCACTCCACCCCTGCTCCCTGAGTTTACCCTGTTCCCTTGGTACACTGTCTTTCTCCTCCCCGAAAACCCCCCACATAATACACACCCTTTCTCCCTATATTTACAGATTACTGCAGCAATATTTTGCAAGACAGTGGATCCTTCACCAGGGTCTGGACGTAAAAATAGCAAGCCAAGGGGGGAAATAAATAACTATTATCATAAAGCCATAAACACAACTACACAACAAGAAAGAAATTGCCACAAACACACTATCACAGGGCGAGGTGAGGTCAGTATACAAATAGAGTGGGTAAATCCATGCCGTGCAGTTGACGAAACGATCAGGGGCAGATAACTTACATTTCTTTGACTCATTGCAAGACACATTTCTCTGTGACCTCCCCTACTCCTTGTGCCAATTTGGCTGGGAGTTCACTGACTTTGGTGGACAATTCACTTAGATTTGGGGGAAACTCTGGAACAAAAAAATGAAACAGGACAGATAGTACTGAGCTGAATCACATTCAATTTTTGTTTCATCACACATCTATCCTGTAGTAGTTACAACAGAGAGAAAAGCAATAATACGGAGCCTATCTTTTATTTTAAAACAAACAAACAAACAAACAAACAAAAAAGAAGCCACGCTCACACATGCGCACGCACCTCTGTACGCCACTGCAACCACTGTTCTCCATAGTCCTATATATGCATTAAGGTAACACTTCTTCTAGTATTTGTTCTGACAATACTCATACGTCCATTATCGTTGAATCAAAGTTTATATCTTCCCTGTCTCAAGGCTGGTAGAGTTTCTCGTGAGGGTTAAAAAAAAAACACACACAGATTTAAAAAAAATAAAACACAATTTAAAACAGTAAGAAAGTGACAACATTTAAACAACAATAGGAATTCACACCGAAAGACAATGTTATGAAACACCTTGCAAAGAAACCCACTGGAAGAGGGCAAAGTTAACGGCCAGGTTGAGAAAGATAATATAACTGCATGCATTTCCATTTTCTTTGAGAAATCGGCTGTATTTTACATGTAAACTATCTCAAAACACAAGAACGCCCCATCCTCCGCCCACTTTTTGTACTTCATAGTTTGCATACAATAAGAAACCGACAGATCTTTACTCCATTTCCTTGGCGCCTGCGTTGTAAACGTTATTTCTTCTCTTTATTTGTCAATAGATCCGTAAAATGATAGTAGGAAAAAGATGCAGTAAATTTCTTTTTATTCCTCCAAAACCAATTAATTCAGGACCAAATGTACAGACTAAACATACAAACAAACAGAAACAAACAAATAAAATCGAAAAGAGGTTTCATTCCAGCAGCCGCTGAAGCTTATGAGCCCAAACAACAAAGGTTTGATTTCATAATAGTATGGGGAGAAGATGGCGGGTGACAGCATCCAAGAACGTGCCGAGGGACGAGACGAGAGTGAAGCTTGCGGAATGCATGCTGGTACTAACGTAGGTAAAAGTCGGGGAGGGGGAAGGGGGAGGGGTCGGGGTTGAAAAGGCCAAAATAACACTAAAACGTATTTAGAGATTATTACACTCTTGTATGATGTGTGGGCGACAGATTATTATCTCACCCCCCCCTCAACTCCAAGTTAAAAAGCAATGCCGAAAAAGGGTAGACATATACATCAAACAAAATTAATTCCATTACGGCTCAAATTATACGTCTTGGAGTCCTCTAAGCTATATAATGTTATATTATTTCAAGAACCTCTAAAGGTCGATCGCAAGCCTGGCATAAAACAAACCATAACCAATCTTTATGGGAAAGAAAACAACCTTTGATGCAAAAGGCAGATTACACTATGTGCGATGGTAGATACGATATTTGAAAATAAAAAAGGCTGAGAAAACACAGGTAAAATGTAAAAAAAACAAAGGGATACAAAGTGACGAGAAAAACACGCAGAGAAAAGCACCAAGCCTCAGTCGAGAAAAGAGATGAATAAATGGTTATCTCAGTAGCTACGGTTACACTTGAACACCAGGGCAGTGTTAGTCTGAGCAAAATTATGCATGTTGTTAAACAGTTGCCCTACGGACGAAATCGCCAGTTTACGTTATAGTTAGTAATAAGAAATAATATATTGATTATAAGGAAATGTGACAGCGTGATTCTAAAAAGGCCTGTGGATAATTCACATACAGAGATGAGAGAAACACGAGACAGACTAAGATAGAGAGAGAGAGAGAGATAGATAGATAGACAGACAGACAGAAAGATAGGTAGATAGATAAATAGATAGATAGAAAGGTAGATAAATAGATAGATAGATAGATAGATAGATAGATAGATAGATAGATAGATAGATAGATAGATAGATAGATAGATAGATAGATAGATAGATAGATAGATAGATAGATAGATAGAAGATAGACAGATAAATAGATGGATGGATGGATAATATAGATAGATAGATAGCAAAAGAGAGAGTGAGAGAGAGAGAGAGAGAGAGAGAGAGAGAGAGAGAGAGAGAGAGAGAGAGAGAGAGAGAGAGAGAGAGAGAAGGGAAGGTACGATAGAAACAGCGAGAGAGAGGGGATGGGGGGTAAAAAGAGCCAGAGTCATAGAAGCCAGGCCAGCGAAGTCTGAGAAGCAATAGACGGGCTGAAAAGAAAGACCGAGAGAGCGATAGTAAATGCACAGATACCCCACCATATCATCAAAGGACACAGATTGTCAAGGGGGAGAGAACAGACAACATAGTAAAGAAAAATACGATTAAACCAACATTAGATGAAACAGTCTTGTCACAACAGACATTCATAAATATTAAATAGAAACAGTAACGTTGTGGTCCTCACGTGTGGAGCGATGTACATTTTTTTTATTGACAAACACAACATTTACACCTTAAGTACCTTCAAGGGCAATGCTGAGGATACAGAATCTAATGAACCAGACATCTGACCAAACAACAAGAAAACTGGCCGTAATATTACACAAGAATAAAATGAACACAAACTAGTAACAGAGTATCGGTCTCTCCCCCCCCCCCCCAAAAAAAAAGAATAATACCAATAATAAAATAAAATAATGACGATAATAATAACAATAATAATAATAATAATAATAATAATCGTAATAATAAATAATAATTATAATAACAATAATAATACTAATAATAATAATAATAATAATAATAATAATAATAATAATAATAATAACAATAGTAATATAATAATAATAATAACAAGAACAATAATAAAGATAAAAACAATATAAATAAAAATACCAATAATCGTTGAATGCAGAAATCAGCACGGTACCAAAAGAATATATCTACTCTCTTCTAACACCGACATTGGACACAAAGGTAGTACTCTAATAATAAAGACGCTGGTACGACCTGCGATAGGTAGAGTGTATTGTAGTCATGGAGTGTGCCAAAATGGGTCAAGAAGTTCACGTACATGTACACTCACTTGCTTTATAAGATTACATGTGAAAATAGGTATATAGTTTAATAACAAATAATGATAGTAATCATACTTTGCCCAAAAAAGTCACCAAATATTAGTAACAACAACATCAACAATAAAATAATTGGTAGTAATAACAATAATAAAAAGTGTAATAATAATAATAATAATAATAATAATAATAATAATAATAATAATAATAGTAATAATAATAATAATAATAATAATAATAATAATATAAAAAAAATAATAAATAATCTTAATAACAATACTGGTCAAATATGTACAGAAATAACAAAAATCGTGACCAAACGGACACGCAGTCGGTCAGTACGTAAGTAGATTATAATACACGTGTTTTAGTAAGTAATTTAAATATTATATAAAAAGAAAGAATAGCGCGTATGCTGGAGCATTTTCTAAGTAATAGTAAGCTCTCTTCAAATGAACTGATCAGAAATAAAAGGAAGGTGATTGGGGTAAGATTTTTTGAAAGACAAAAAAAGAACGATCTTAATTAAGTAAAGGGCTGTTAATATTTTTTTGTCTTTAAAACGTTTTAGGTTAAAGATGGTCAAGGGCATAAGGAGTTAAGAGACGATGCCCAGTATAATATGCAGTTTTGCTACTGTGGGTGTGGAGGTAATCATCGCATTAGACATGTTAAGTACGCCGGCTACCTCCTGAAAAATGGAAGCAATTAGAAAAAAGAGACTGCCCCAATCTTTGTTACAACGTAGTTATTAAGAGAGAGAGAGAGAGAGAGAGAGAGAGAGAGAGAGAGAGAGAGAGAGAGAGAGAGAGAGACAGAGAGAGAAAGTGAGAGGGAGGGGGCGAGAGAGGGGGCAATGCTGAGGGAGAGAGCGAGGGAGAGAGAGGCAGTAAGAAAAAGAGAGAAGAGATAACGGCACATAGAATTAGAACGGGACAGAGAGACACACACAGAAAAGAGAGAGAGAGAGAGAGAGAGAGAGGGGGGGGGGGGGGGGGTTCAAGATTCCAGAGCAACAAACCACACACTACCTGACTGATTCGGTCTGAGACAATAATATATACTGAAGCCATACAAGAATAGTAAGGGAAAGTGAGAACAAGACTAAGAGATTCGTGGAAAAGATGCCAGCTTCCATCGACTATGCTCTGTGAGCTGTCTCCCGAAAACTCCGTCAAGAATGGAATAGTAACAGAAGAGAACAACTACGAACATGCCATCACAACTCTAGATCTAGCTTACTACGTATTTTCACAAACCGAGTGTGAACTGTTCTATGTATATTTTAGCATAAATATATTCACCAAAAAAAACATAGAAATAAACGAATGAAATTTGCATTTTTTCTGAAATAATGAATAAAGGTGAACATGATGACAATAACGAAGTTCGTCGAAAACGACGACGACGACGATGATGATGATGATGATGATGATGATGATGATGATGATGATGATGATGATGGTAACGATGAAAACGAGATCAAGAAAATCACTCAGCACTGAGCAGAAAAATGTTCAAAAATGAGAGGTTGTACGTTTACAAACTAGAGCATGACGAGAGACAAAATCTGCCAGAATCAAAAGTAGTAGGCCTAGTCGTAATCAATTAGGAGCAATGGTTACCAACACAACAGTCCAAGACAACGCATAGAAATCATACAAAGTGTTGAGATACAAAGGACACATAATAAAATACATTGTCTAGATACGGTCACATTAATTCACGAGCAGCAGTGCGATATTTAATAATATGTCCACACGGACTTGCAATTCGAAACAAGAGTACAGTACAATAATATATTACGTTTTGTATGATACAATTCCTCTAAAGAAAATCGTTACATGCTTTCAATGTGGCCAAAATAACATCTCACCCCAGGCAGGACTTTCAATTAATGCAGATCAATATCTCAATTGCACACGCCTCGACGCCAGTTCATAATCTCTTTTTGCAAGGAAAACGTCATGCGCCTGTTGGAATTTGGGTGTTTGTGTGCGTGAGTGTGTGTGTGTACGTGTGTGTG